GGTATATTTTTCTTTTCATTTCTTACGCGTTCTGGAGGCATTAAAGCCTCCAGAAGCCCTCCACCCCCCTCCTTTCTTCTCAAGAATAACTCCTTCACGCTTATTCCATGACTAAGATGTGGGTTCGAATGATTGATGAAGAAATTAAAGAGGAATAATTTCTAGGCCTCCAAGAGCATTAACGCATTCGTAGGCGTAGGGTTGCTAAGAAATTGCGCAAAAATAAACTATCGTTCTCTGCGCACACGCTCGGATGCCTCGAGATGACGAATAAATCATTTTTTTTCTCTCTTTCAAAACAATAGACGTTCGCAACTGCGCACGATAAGAATGAGTTCAACGTTGGTCGAAACAATTTATTCCCCCGATCGTTGCCTCGGAGCGAGCCGGAGTCAGCGGAAGCGGTGCACTGCATCTCGTTCGATGATTCATCGGGTTTCCAACGATAATACTACCGCGCTAAGGAAGAACGTCTTATGAGCCTTCAAATTTTGCCTAACTTCCTGTCATAAATTATGGATCTCCCGGGAAACTTATGCATATTTTCCTGCCGATTTTCCGGATATTTTTGTTCGTAATTTAGTCTGAAATGTTTGAACATTCCAAGGAATTATGTCCTCGACTTCCCTCAAAAATAAATATTTTATCGGATGAAATTCGGCAACAGTCAAATGTCAATATGTATACTGTGTTTTTTTCTAGCACGGTGGAAGATGATGCGCGCATGCACCGCAGTGCAATTGGATTCTCCTTTACAAGACGACGAAGATGATGATCTCGTTTGATCATTTTCTATGTTTTCCAGTGGCTTGGCGTGCTTTGCGATATATCGATGGATCTGTCATTCAAATCTATGGAAAAGGATCGATAAATGGGGTGTTCGCAACGAACACTTTAATAGTCGATTCTTTACCATAGCTTCAAACGGAGAAATATTGATAATCGATCATTCGCGCCACGGCCACGCCTCTGAATTGTTTTCATGAGATTGAGATTCCTTTCTCTCTCTTATAATGATTATGTCGTATGTACTTAAGAAATACCAGCCAACCTAGTGAATTTCTTAGTTAAAATCGCCCGAAATTCACCGGAGCAAAGAACATAGTAGAAATAAAGCGCCAAATTTATTACTATTTCACTAATATATAAACAGAAAGGAAGCCCATCTGAGGGGTGTTACTGTACAATGTTTGGCCCTAAAAACGTTTGAAGTAACTCTGAAAGTGCAGACTCAAGTGGAGTGAATCCTTGTTTTGCAAATTGACTTTTCTGTCACATTGCCTTATTTGCAGGATTTCAGGCTCACACTATTTCAAGTGAAAAACTATTTTTATCCGACGCACTTCGGAATGATGTGAGTTCGAGAGAATTTTATAAATATTTAATCCGATCTTAAAAGTATCAACATTTGGATTTGGATCGTCAAACGCTGAGAGTTTATTGATCTATTCTCTCACTTCAAAAATCCAGCTCCTTCAGTCTTATATTTTCAAGTAGGTCACGTAGTAATACATGCTGTTGGATCAACAAAAATTTCAATTTTTACCTCCAGGGCGAGAATTCAGGGGCTTGGAGGACAAGACGCGTTAGTGCAGTTTTGGTAAAAATTGAGATATCAATGATTTCAAGTAAAACTAGTCTTGATGTGTATTCTCAAAATTTGCTCCCAAAACCTAATGTTCAAGCATCAAAAAGTCAGTTTGAACTTTTCTATCCGCGATGAAGATCCATGTACTTTCAAAACTTCAAACACTTATTTCTCGAATAGCAAAAAGTGCACCTATGCGCCTTGTCCCACAAGCCCCTCGATTCTCTTTGAGTCAACAGGAAATCTCTATGTTTCAAGCGATATTTCTGTTATTTCAAATAGACGTTTTGTTTTTTTCTTAAGAATGTATCGCCGCTTAGCTCAACGAAAATTCCCGTCCAGGAATGACGAGTATAAGCCGAAAAATTTTCCTCACTGGGGGAAGATAATACAAACAGGTAAATGAAAAAAAATCAACTAGAAACGATGAGAGAGAAAAAATTCTTTCTACAATTTTTTATAATGCAATTTCAGACTCACTTAATGTTTCTCGATCATTACACTCATATACTGCCGTGCTAAGGAAGAACGCCGTATGAACATTTGAGAGTTGCCAAATTTCCCCGGATAAAACATGTATTTCTGACGAAATTTGTGTATATTTTTCCTTAAAATTTGCAGATATTTTTGAATAAATTGCGAACAAAATAGTCTGAAATTTCCGAAGAAAAATATTTACCATTTCCCCAACAAGTTTGTATTTTATCAGAAGAAATGTGGCAACACCTGGAGGTTCATACGGTGTTCTTCCTTAGCACGGCAGTATAGCCCTCCCCTTCATCGAAATTCATCGATTTAGAAGTGAAGAAGGCGTCATGCAAGACTCATAATCTCTTGCAATCTTATAAAATCCATCCTTTGTCTCGAGGTTGCAATGCATCTCGTTTCGACGTGCGCGGAATGAAAACGCCGGACTCTTCTCGCAATCGCGAAAGGGGAAAAAACGCGGTTTTCATTCTCAGAAATCAGTCTATCTATCATCATCCGGAACAATTTTCGTTTCGTTCTCGGAAAGCTATATACTAATCACGTTGAAACCGCGGCGGCTCCGGTGGAGTTAATCATTGCCTTCATTTTTTTTTCGTAATTCCATCGGAACTTCCACGGATTCCTGGAAAAGTGCGGAGTGTTGGTACCCCTTCAATATTCATCGACGACTTGCCAGGTCATACATTAACTGGGCAGATTTCATCAGTGTTGCCATTTCCTTGAATTAGTTCCGAATTTCTGAACTTTTCATATAATCGGAACTTTTACCGGAGTTTTCAGCTGTTTTCGGAATTTCAGGGGGCTTTTTCATGTCACATTTATCGATTACTTGATCAAATTTGATGATCTTCGGAACCAAGTGCGGGCGTATTTTGGAATTTTCCCCCGGAATTTTCTCGGAACTTTGGGAAATTGAAATTAATTCCGGGAGCCGTGGAAGCTTTGTGTTAAAATAAAATGGCAGCTTTGGATTTTATCAATATCAGCCTAACTAAATTTTTCATTGCCTGAAATTTACTCAAGTTATATTTTTTTCTAAAAAAGCTGAGTAACATGTAGAATTTCAAAAGTTCCTGTGAATCTCTTCTAGAATTTGAGAAATATATCTACAAAATTCCTGATCAGGATGCTACTTGCTTTTTGGTAAAGCATGTAGACCATGAAAAGAAATTTGGCAACGTCTGCTTCAGTTGGGTTGATTCTGATGGAATGCAACCAATTGTACGAAATAAATCGGTGGATATGTACATGTAGCCCTGAAAATGATTCTGTTTCTCTTTTTAAATTCGCTCACTTTCTTAAACGTTCGTTCAAGTCTCTTTAGTAGTCATACAAGAAGTTAATGCTCAGGATTGCTTTTCGTGGCAAAAAAAAAGAAAAATGATCACATCATTTACAAAATTTCCCCAGAATCCACTCTCTCTCTCTGGACCGGATCATACGCTTAAAAGAAACAATAATTATGGTGGCCAGACATTTTACCCACTTTGGTCAGTAGTTTGGAACGGAGATGTAGGTCTACAAATACATCTTTTACAAAAAATAAGACATCAAATCGAAAAAAAGTACAAAATTAAATATATACACAACCGAAGATAGGAGAGGTTTTCATCAGTTTTCTCCCGAATCAGAGTGGCAATTCATTGGCAGGATAGAGCGCGGAGCATCGCGAGCTCACGTCTCGCGCTGTAGCGCCTTCAATTTTGCAGACGCAACACGGACATCCATCAAGCACGAATAGTTGTATCCCTGCGCCGTCATCAACGCGCGACCTTTCCCTTGCTCTGTTCCCATGTTGCGTCGGTTCCGGCTGTCTTATTTATAGTGGTGCTTCAAGGGCTACGTTAGCAAAACAGTCGACGATAGGAGAGATGTAATCGGACCTTTTTTTTACCTTTTCTCTCGAATGCAAGCGATACCTCATTGACAGCAGAAAGCGGAGCATCGCCAATTCACACCTCGCGCCATCGCGCCTTCAATTTTGCAGATACCACACGGACATCCATCAAGCACGATTAGTTGTATCTCTGCGCCGTCATCAAAGCGAGTCCTTTCTCTTACTCTATTTCCATGTTGTGTCGGTTTTATTTATAGCGGGGCTTAATAGGCGACGTGAGCAACACAGCTAAAGTATGACTTGGATTAAATTAGTTGGCCAAACTAGGTATCGGGTGAAAAAAATTGGCTTAAGTGTCTAGCTACCATAATTATTTTTGCCTGGAAAATCGGAAAAATCGGGACATTTTTTTCTCGAAAGGAAAAACGCCATGCGAGCATTTGAAGGTTGCCAGATTTCTAGTGATAGAAAAATGACGTCAATTTTGGCTGATGATACAATCAAGCAACTAGTGTCTTTTTGCTGCACTGAAAAAAAAAAAAAAAACACACATTGGATCTAGAGTCCAGACTCTTAAAAACATCGGCAAGAAAAAATACTCTTGATTCAATCAGATTTAAGCTTAAATCAAGAAGCAAGCCTCTTAATTTAAGCGGATTTCGTTTTGATTCAAGCAAAAATCCGATTGAATCAAGAGTATTTGGACTGAGCTAAGCAGAAAGGAACCAACCCACATTTTGGAAGAAATTGAGTTATGAGTAGTTTTGAACTTAACCAGAGCTCTACTATCTATCGCCAAAAATTCAAACTTTTTGTTTGAGCAAATTTTGCAGAAATTGAACTTAAAGTTTATCTTTTACATTGAGTCTTATGCAGGAGCCAAACTTTAAACCTCTTTTTCTTGATTCGATCCCGATGTGGCTTGGTTCCTTTCTGTTTAACTCCGTCCATTTCTTCTTGTCAATGTTTTCTAGAGTCTGGACTCTAGATCCAATGTGTTTTTTTTCCAGTGTGGGTCTCGCCGCTTGGTTCTTTGTAGACAACTTTTGAGTGGGACTAACCTATTGTTTTCTCATGTGTGTGCAGGGACGACCTATTTCCACGCGACCCCGAACGGGACGTTCTCGACGACCCTGCGACTGCCAGGCAACGGGTCGATGACGGGCGATTCGGGGGCCTCGGGCTCGGGGCAGGGAGGCGCCCACCCCTCGGGGCACCCCCCGACGTCGACGCTCAACATCACCACCTCCGAGTCGACAACCCACCCCCCGCCGCCGCCGGCCCCGACGCTCAAGGACATCGTGAACTGCAACGACAAGTCGGCGCGCCACTACCTGGCCCAGAAGGGCGACTTCTGGGTGCTCTACAACTACGTGACGCCGGCCAAGAGCTTCCGCTGCTGGGAGTCCATCACCTACACGACGCACGCCGACTACAGCTTCCTGGACAATCTGCCGCCGTTGGTGGAGCGCTGGCGCGGGCCCGTCTCCCTCGCCATCCACGCCCCGGGCACCGACTTCGCCCCGACGCTCAACACCATCAACTACCTCAAGTCCTGCACCACCCCGCTCGTCAACGACTACGTCACCTTCCACATCTACTTCAACTCCCAGCATTTGCCTAAGGTAATCTTATTCATCATCTTATTATAATTTTAAAATACATAGGGGAAAAAAATCGCTGAAGTAAGATCCCGGATGTTAAAAATGTGCGCGACAACTCTTGAATGTTGTTATGGACACTCTGGCTGTCCAAGTAACATCCTATAGCTACGTTGAATTAACAACAGTAGCGTTCATATCAACATTCAAGAATTTTCGCGCAGATTTTTAACATCCTGGATGTTACAATAGCAATTTTTCCCCGTGTAGCGTAGATATGGAGCCGTCCATAAGTTACATAACGCACTTTTTCGGCATTTTTTACCCCCCTCCCCCTTGTAACGATTTCGTGACGTAGGTTTTCTACCCTTTAATTCGTAAAAACAAAATGGCGTAAAGCTCTCCTCGAACCAACTCTTATCCCTTCAGAGCGTTACGTAATTTGGGGACAGTCGCGGCGCCTGTTCAGGGTGTCTGCCGTCAGTGAAAGCCGAATATACAAGGATTTTGGATGTTATCAGGAAAAACTTGGAAATTAGGTCATGGATCAGGAAAATCCGAGTTCGTCAAGCATTTTTCGACTATTTACAGTTCAGCACATGCTAAAGTGAAAAATTTGATTTTTATATGTGTGTATTTTGTATATGTATTGATGCTCGATTCTTGCGGATCAGCTAAAAGTAATATGATCTGTATGATCTGTTGATTGTCTGTCGAAACAGCAACATTCTATGTTCAATATTAACCGAGATATCGCCCTTCGAAAAGTCGGGTTTTTGACGTCATCCACCGCGGTATTGACACCCTTGGTTTCTCCCACCTTGCTTTCATCCGAGATTCACGTTGATCAACCAGTGCAAATGTGTATCACACCGACTAATGAAAGCAAGGTGGAAGAAACCAAGGGTGTCACTATCATGGTGGATGACGTAAAAAACCCGACTTTTCAAACGGCGATCTCAGTTAATCTTGAACGTAGAAGGTTGCTGTTTGGATAGATCATATTATTTTTAGCTAATCTACAAGAATCAAAAACACGATTCTATGACCAGCGCACACTGGAAAAACAACACATTGAATCTTGAGTCCAGACTCTTGAAAACATCGACAAGAAAAAATACTCTTGATTCAATCGGATTTTTGCTTAAATCAAGAACCAAGCCTCTTGATTTGAGCGGATTTCCCCTTGATTTAAGCAAACATCTTCTGATTGAATCAAGAGTATTTTTTCTTGTCAATGTTTTCAAGAGTCTGGACTCTAGATCCAATGTGTTTTTTTCTCTAGTGCAACTGACCCATCATCAATTCGCAAATCCGCGCACCTTGCATGAGGCCCATTGTAAAGGAAGACGTTTTGATCGCAGGTGATCCCGAAGAAGCACACGCTCTTCACGGAGCCGTACAACTGCTCGCTGCCGCCACCGTACGCCAACGTGAACACGTCGACGATGTACAAGAGCCTGAAGAAGATCCTGTACCCGGTCAACGTGGGGAGGAACATTGCCCGGGAGGCGGCCACCACGCACTACATCCTCGCCTCGGACATCGAGCTCTACCCCAGTCCGGGCATCATCCCCGACTTCCTGGAGATGATCCAGAGGCAGGACCCGCCCCTCCGACGCAAGAACCCCAAGGTCTTCCCGCTCTCCATCTTCGAGATCGAGGCCAAGATGAACGTGCCCAGGCACAAAGCCGAATTGGTAAGCCCGAATTCCAATATATTTCATAGTTACCTCACTGTCCCTCCAGTGGGCTCATCCTTGAAATCGATAGACAAAGCTGTAGACAAAGAAGATATAGGGAGTATGGAGCGATCCTATTGCTTGCAATGGGCGGTTCTTAAAGACTAAGGGGGTAAATGATGGACTAACTATAGGGTCTCTCGTGATTTGCTGTTAGTTAGTCTATTACCTACCTTCTATGTCCATTGCAACCACCAGCTTCCGCCAATAGGATCCCTCAAAATCCCTTTTGTGTTCTTTGTCTACAGCTTTGTCTATCAACTTCAATAATCAGCCCGTAGGTGATTGCAACGGACAAAAGAGGTCATAAACGGCAACCCTTGAGATAACCGATGTCAGTCCACCATTCTCCCCGTTAGTCTATAGCAACCGTCCGTTTCAACCAATGGCATCGCTCCGTTTTCTCAGCGTCTTCTTCGTCGATTGCTTCCTCTACCAATTCCAATAATCAGCGCGCAGGAGGGAGCAAATTTTCATGAGGCTTTGGATGATGGTGATCCGTCGGGTCAAAGCCATAGGGAGCACGGAGCGATTCTATTGGTTAAAAAGGGTGGTTCTCATAGACCAAGGGGAGAAACGATGGACTAACTGTAGGGTCTCTTATGGGTTGCCGTCAGTTAGTCTATTCTTATTCCTTCGTCCATTCCAACCACCCGTTTTAACCAATAAGATCGCTTTATTTTTCCTCCGTCTCTTAGGTTTATCGCCTTGTCTATCGATTCCAATAACAACTCGCAGTCATATCTCGCACGGAGAAAAAAACTTCGTGCGTGGGACCCGAAATTGAGGTCATATGGATCTCTGAAGTTTTCTGATGACGCATCCGAAAACTTGAGGTCGAGCTGCCGAAGTTCGGGTCAGACATCTGAAGTACTTCGATTTATACCGAAGGGTTCGGGTCACACATCTGAAGTACTCCGGTACATACCGAAGTGCTTCAATGTCTGACCCAACCTTCGGCAGCTCGACCTCAAGTTTTCGGATGCGTGATCAGAATACTTCAGAGATCCATATGACCTCAACTTCGGGTCCCATGCATGAAGTTTTTTTTCTCCGTATCCACTGATTTTTCTTTTACCGATTCCAATAATCAGCGCGCAGGAGGGAGCGAATTTTCATGAGGCGTTGGATGATGGTGAGCCGCCGGGTCGAGGCCCGGTAAACGATTCTTCCGGGCTGATCTCGGAGTCTCGGACGGCCTTATACGTTCGTTTACGGCCTTTTATGTGAAATCATAAATCTGTCTCAAGAGCCCCTGTCTAAATGCTTATGACGAAGCTTCAAGCTCGGTCGTCATTCATTTCTCGAATTGCTCGACTGCTCCTTTATCGGACTCCACTCCACACTTCCACTCCCCCACCGCCCCTCGCCCCTCCTCTCGGTACCATTTTAAATTGGGCATCATCTCGCGTCGTTTGCCCGTTACCGGCTACCAAGTTCATCGACCTTCCATCCTCCTTAATGATTCTCCGCTCCTGAAAGCAAGTCTCAAGGTCAGTGGCTTCTTACGGTGAAACCACCGGGCAGGTTTCATCCTTGCGGTTTTCCATCGTGTTTCAATTGGATAGCGTTAAGCAATCAAACCGGGAGCCTGATTATTGCAATTGATGGACAAAGCGGAACATTCGGAACAACATTCGGAAATAGAGCGGTGGGTGTTATAACGTTTTTGGAGACTTAAACTCAAGGGTAGAAACATGGAGTACACGGCACGATCGAACCAGCGGGTTGATTATTGAAATTGATAGACAAAGCGATAGACAAAGAAGACATAGGGAGTACGGAGCGATCCTATTGGTTGAAACGGGTGCTTCTCTTAGACCAAGGGGAAAATGATGGACAAACTGTAGGTGTAGGGTCTCTAATGGGTTGCCGTTAGTTGGTCTATTATTGCCTCCTTTGTCCATTCCAACCACCCATTTCAACGAATAAGATCGCTTCATTTTTCCTCCGTCTCCTATGTTTATATTTTCTATCAAATTCAGTAACTAGCCCGAAGTCATATCTCCGCTGGTTTTTCTTTAAAAGCCAATTTAGCGTAAGGATATGGCACAAATTTAGTCGTGTGCAGGCTGAGTTGGAGGTAATTCTATCTACAAATGGACGTATTTCTACGAAACAGAACCATTTGCATTGCTTATAGGACATTTCGTACACGATTTTTTGTCTGCGCACCTGTTTTTTTCAGTAATTTACGTCCACGCGTTTTTTCGGCACGGGAGTTTTGGTCCACGTGCCAGTTGAGACCCAAAGTAATTGGTCCACATGTAAATACAAACGACCATTGATCACGACGTTTTTGGATGAAAATGTATAATGTCTTTGAAGAATGAGGGTTCGCTTGTATTTTTGTTTTGTCTGTTTGGTCCAACGGAGAATAATATACAGTTAAGAGTTTTGGTTAAAATGGGGAAGCGTGGGAGCGTCAATTCTATAAGACAAAATTCAATAAAACTCTCTACACCTCTTTGGTGTAACAGGACTTAATTCTCTTTCAAGAAATTCCCACCTTGTTATACCTGAACCGGATAAACCTCTATATTTGCCTCAGCTAAAGGCTCTTTGATTTTTCCTGTGCACGATAAGTATCTTGATTTATTTTGCGAGAAAAGATCTGTACTTTTAAAGGATTCCTGTCATTCTTAATACGTTCAATTTCGTACAATACTGTGCAATACCTCTGTTGTGAAATAGTTGCTTCAGGCGCCGCCGCACGGCGGGCGGGCGGTCAGCGCGAAACGCGCATTGGCGCCTACAAACCTAAGTGGATACTTCAAGCATTGTGCAATGCGTGAAGTATCCACTTAGGTTTGTAGGCGTGAGTGAGCCTCTCACGCTGGCAGCACACCGCGCCGCGCCGCTCCGCTCTGTTAGGTTCTAATATTTGGACTCGCGTAGTCAGCGTTTTTTAACTGATGATTTTGAAATGTTTGCACACTCTGAATTGATTATTCTCATTTAAATTGATGAAAAAAAAAGAAAAAAAATATGTATCAATTTATCAAGGGACAGTAATAATATAATGTGTTTTTTAAATATTGGTGGTTTCGTGTCAATTTTAATGATTTCCAAGGCACTTTAATTTTTTATTTTACATTGGATTCCATTCAATTCAAAAGATTTTGAACTTGCTCGCCATTTTTGCCCGTCGATGATGTCATCGGAAGGCTACATTTCTTTTCTTAACGCACGGAGAAAAAAACTTCGTGCATGTGACCCGAAGTTGAGGTCATATGGATCTCTGAAGTTTTCGGATTGAGGAAAAATTGAGGTCCAGCTGCCGAAGTTCGGGTCAGACATCCGAGTACTTTGGTATGTACCGGAGTACTTCAGATATCTGACCCAAACTTCGGCAGGTGGACCTCAAGTTTTCGGATGCGTCATCAGAAAACTGCAGAGATCCATATGACCTCAACGTCGGGTCTCATGCACCAAGTTTTTTTCTCCGTGTGTGTTTTCAGTCGCTCGACTAATTGGTCCCCGTGTTGATTTTGTAGGTTGCCATGCTGAAGAACGGCTCGGCGATACCTTTCCACAAGAAGGTGTGCACGGGCTGCCACAAAGTGCCAAAGTCGAAGGAGTGGATGGCCAAAGCCAACCGGAACAAAGGCCTCCGCGTCTTCCACATCGGGAAGCGGACCGGGGAGTTCATCCGGTGGGAGCCCATCTACATCGGAACCCACAGCGACCCGCTCTACGACGAACGACTCAGCTGGGAGGGCAAAAGTGATAAAATGACTCAGGTCAGTTCCCAATTTTGACCATTTCATCAGGTTAGCCAGACATAAGGATGCTGGAAGCCCCGACATTTTTTCCTTCACACCACACTGGAAAAAAAACCACATTGGATCTAGAGTCCAGACTCCTAAAAACATCGACAAGAAAAAATACTCTTGATTCAATCGGATTTTTGCTTAAATCAAGAACCAAGCCTCTTAATTTGAGCGGATTTCCTTTTGATCGAAGCAAAAGTCTGATTGAATCAAGAGTATTTTTTCTTGTCAATGTTTTCAAGAGTCTGAACTCTAGATCCAATGTGTTTTTCTTTCCAGTGCACGAGTGTTTTTTTAAAATAAAGCCTGGAAAGTATGCAATCCCCTCCCTACGTGTTGATTCTTCGAGTAGCATTTGCCTGCAAGATCGAGATTGTGCAATCAGTCAATCCTCAAGCTACGAATGACATTTTTGTCGCAATTCGAGAGAGACTCTTAAATTTTCGTCATTTTTCGAATTTCGTCGATCGGAGGCACTGAAAAAGTACTAAAATTTTCTGGTGAGTAGGCACTGAATTTCTTGTGACTGCCTTGAAAAATTACTGGAGAAGTACTGATATTTGGCCAGTCTTTTTTAGTAGACATCCTGAAGGGGGGTTATTTTTTTCAGTTTCTTGACTCCGTCTGCTTCGTCTCCTAAGAATGACGTAATGATTAATCAGCTCACAGAGAAACTCTCAAATATCGTCGCAAATGAGTAAATATTGTCCCTCCTTCCACCGCCGCCACGGATCAAACGCTTGTCCACAAAATTCGCTCGGTAAACCATTATTATTCAAACATTTGAGGGAGACGGAAAGGAGCAATACAGCAATAACTGCGACCGGACCATTAAAAAGGGCCTTCAAGTTGTTTTGAGTGTCTCGAGATGTCTTGCAGGCACTGCAGCTACGTTTTAACGATGAATGAGAGTGCAAAGAACGAGAGAGAAATTCCCCGGCCCCTTGAAGAGTTTAGAACAAACACATGCGTAAACAAATAACAGCGAAAATTTACGTTACCATGTTGCGCTGGTTTTTTTTTACCTTGAGCTTTTAAGATTTCATTTTCGACGTGGAATTTGCTCGCTTGTTCCGCTTGCCCTCTTCCTTTTCGGTTTGCTCATCTGAGGGGCTTTAAAGACAAGGCGCGCAAATGGCGTCTTTTTATCGTGGCTCATTTTTATCGTGGAAAGCAAGCTTCAAGTGGACTACATTTTGCAATAAAGAACTGCGATTTTCAGTTCATCCGTAAAAACACTTATGTGCATTGGGGAGGCCAATGGTACATCCGTTTTCTTGACTGAGCCAGAAATTCTAGTTCCTAATTGCGAAATGAAGTCCAAATATATATGTATTGTCTCGGAGCGTTGCATATCTCACCGAGCGGTGACAGTTGAATGCTGCGTTTTGGAGGCACATTGACGGAATGAGGTGGAATGAGAGGCTTGGAGGACATGGCGCCTGAGTGCGGTTTTTGAAAAAATTGAGATATTAATAATTTCAAGCAAAACTAGTCTCAATGTATTTCTGTGAAAAGTTCGAACTTTTTAATCCGATCTTGAAAGTATCAACGTTTGGATTTGGATCTCATAACGCTGAGAGTTCATTGATCTGTCCACTCACATAAAAAATGCAGCTCCTTCGATCTTATATTTTCAAGTAGGTCACGCAGAAATACATGCTGTTGGATCAACAGAAATTCCAAAGTTCACCTCCCGAGCGAGAATCGAGGGGCTTGGAGGACAAGGCGCGTTAGCGCAGTTTTGGAAAAAAATTGAGATGTCAATGAGTTTAAGTGAAACTAGTCTTGATGCATACTCTGTGCAAAATTAGCTCCCAAAATCCAATTTTAAGCATCAAAAAGTCAGTTTGAACTTCCTTTCCGCCACAAGGATCCATGTAATTTCGAAACTCCAAACACGTATTTCTGGAAATAGCAAGAATGGACCACTAGACAAGGTACGAATTTCAGCATTCTGATACATGATTCGTAACCAAAATTTCACGTAGAATACGACGCGCACAACGAAAATTACCGAATTCAACTCCTTCCAAAGATATTTAACGATTCTTGATACGTGAATTCAAACCACCCGCTCATGAAAACTCAATGATCTGCGTGATTCACATCGCGCGCTAAACGTTATCATGACAGTCTCTGCGATATACAAATCTGGCAACCTTAATCTTGACGCTTTAGCTCAGCTATTGCAAGTTGTTTATAGTTTGAACAGCACATGGTTGGAAATGAACATCGCTTGATTGAGAAGTTTGCTGAAACCGTTCTAGTGCACGATTTGACTCACGTAGAGNCGTTAGGAGTTGGTTTCAGTCATTTTCGTTGCGCGAATCGTGTTCTGCGTGAAATTTTAGTTAAGAAACATGTATCAGAATGCTTAAATTGGTACCTTGTCTAGTGGTCCATTACACTTTTGCGCCTCGTCCTTCAAGCCCCTTAAATATGATAGATGTAGGCGGGCCGCGGGCGCTGCGGGCTGAAGAAAAACAAACAGGATGGCGATGGCTGGAGGCGGGAGAGAGGCGAGCCAGAAGAATGCCGGGAAGTCACGGTTGGGAGAGCCGAACAGGCCGGGATCAGGAGCCGGCAACAGCCGCGACCTTTAGAACATCGGTCATGCTTCATGTGCGTAATGAGGAGGGAGTCACTGCAGACCCACATTGTCCGCGGATCCTCATCATCCAGTCGTCCGCAAAGACGGAAAATCTTAGAGACCCCGCTCGAAGAGCCTAAAGTCGGATGGATCTGCGGGCCGATTATTGAAATTGATAGACAAAGCTATAGACAAAGACGACAAAAGGGATTCGGAGGGATCCTATTGGTGGAAGCAGGTGGTTGCATGGGCAAAGGAGGTAGGTAATGGACTAACTAACGGCAATCCAGTAAAGACCCGACAGTTAGTCCATCATTTTCTTCCTTAGTCTATAAGAACCAACCATGTCAACCAATAAGATCGCTCCATACTCCCTATGTCTTCTTTGTCTATCGCTTTGTCCATCAATTTCAATAATCGCCCCGCAGTTCTGCTGGTCACAGAATCGTGTTTTGATGCTTGATTCTTGTAGATTAACTAAAAATAATAAGATCTGTCCTAACAGCAACTTTCTACGTTCAATATTAACCGAGATATCGCCCACATTGTCCACGGATCCTCATCATCCAGTCGTCCGCAAAGACGGAAAATCTTAGAGACCCCGCTCGAAGGCCTTGTCTCCACGGGACGTTTTCATGGGATTTTTCCCAAGTTCGAATCGCAGGAATGAAACTTCTGGGATTTTCCCCAGTTACCGTCTCCACGGGACGGGGCTCATTCAGTCCTGCGACTGGTTTTGCGCGGGAAGATAAATTAGTTAAAGTCGAGTATTTAACCGGGATTAAAATAATAATTGCACTCAATTGACAACTAGACACATTATTTTAACTAAACAAACATGAACAATGTTGTAATGAATAAAATATCGCACAATTCGTTTTCACTTCTTCTTCTTCTCTCAGTGGGTCCTAGGGGTACAAGTACCATTCTTGGTACTGGGAAAAATATTGATTAACTCAATATTCTTCCCAACTTTGCAAGTGGGATTTTTCCCTGGGACAAATCTCGCGAAACGGCTCGTGGAGACAAGGCCGAAGAGTCTAAAGTCGAATGGATCAGTTCTGCTGGTTACAGAATCGTATTTTGATGCTTGATTCTTATAGATTAACTAAAAATAATAAGATCGGTCCTAACAGCAACTTTCTGCGTTCAATATTAACCGAGATATCGCCCTTTGAAATGTCGGGTTTTTATCGTCATCCACCGTGGTAGTGACACCCTTGGTTTCTTCCACCTTGCTTTCATCAGTCAGTGTGACGCACATTTGCACGGGTTGTTCAACGTGAAACCCGTATGAAAGCAAGGTGGAAGAAACCAAGGGTGTCATTACAGGGGAGGATGACGTCAAAAACCCGGTTTTTCAAATGGCGATATCTCGGTCAATATTGAAAGTCGAGAGTCGCTGTTTGGACGAATCTTATCGTTTTTAGCTAATCTACAAGAATCAAGCATCAAAACACGATTCTGTGACCAGCGCTACTAACCCATTTTTGCGACTGGATCCAGGACTCGGTTAATATTTTGGATAGATGACTGTTTTATCACTGTTGGAATTCGGACCAATCAGAATCGAGTATCTAATTTTCAACTAAATCCTGCAGTGAATCAAGAAGTTACGGGTTAGGTACATAGACATACCGTCCGTCCCGGGCTCAGAGGCCGAAAGTTTCGGGTGCTGCAGCCGTAGCTTCGATTGCTCCGTGTGCCACGCTCGGAACTTTCGGTATCTGAGTCCGGAACGCACACGGTATGTCTATGTAGCCCGTAATACGGTTTTCACGGCCGTAGTTTTTTTTCAGTGTGAAGAAAACGAGCCAATAATCACGGATTAGGTTCAAAACTGCGCGTCAGAACGAGAATACTAGACCACAATTCGACATCAAAAGAAAGCTCTTCTTAACAGTTGTTTTCTAATTTTTCATCGAAGGTGCTTGTGATTTTTTGCTTAGGAAAGAAGTTGTGCGCTTTTGAATTCTTGTATTATTATAACTCAAATAATTTGTATTTTTTTTCCTTTCAGGGCTATGCATTGTGTGCTCTGGATTACGAGTTTCAAATATTGGATAATGCATTCCTAGTCCACAAACCGGGAATAAAAACACTGAAAAAGAATCCGGCTCGAGACATGCTGACAAGGAAAACAAACACGCTGATCCAGAAAGTAATTTGGCCGGAGTTGAAAATTCTGTATGGGTTCAAGAAAGGCTGCTCCGTCTGACCTTCATTGAAGCCCAGATTGTCGGGCATCATTTTTAAAAGACTGCTCAAGTCCAGGTACTTTTTATGTCATCTCACTCTATTAAAAAATTAATTGAATCAATCAAGTTGATAGAAGATTTAGTTGAAAGATAATGTTAATTTAAGGGGTTTTGAGGAGAAGGCACATAAGTGCGGTTTTTGCGGTTTTACAATCAGCAAAAACTCCAAAAATTTGACCATTTAAATGTAAGTCTAAGTTTCAGTGTGATAAATTTTGATGAAAAACAAAGATAAAGTTTTTCAGCCTCAGGAACTATTCATTTTAAATGCATTAACACAATTAATATTGGAAACTAAAGCTTAATACTTTGATCTAATGTTCTGAAAAGTAATAATTTGTGCTCAGCATTAAAAACTGCTATTACCTATATTTTTTGGAACCCATTCAGTTTTTTTTTCTTCACTGTTATGAATAATTTAAACCACCACGTTACGTACCTTCTTACCTCCGAATTTTTAGGAAAACCGTCACTAGAAATTGAGGTTTTTTTATCTCCAATATTTTTTCTTTTTTCCAGATGACGCTTAACAAAGTTGCAGAAATTTGCTCCTCCTGAATTGCTTTCACCTGAAACATAGTGGATGCTGTTTTGTTCTGTTTCTTTTCATTTTCGACGTACCAATATTTGTTTGTTAGTTTCCTATTAGTGATAATTATCATAATGTCTTGTGTATAAAATCTGTAAAAACATGTAAATTCCTCCCTCTTTGTTCATACTTTTTTTTCAATTGACTGTGAATCACTCTAATTTTATCAGACTTTTGTAAAAAATATTGCTCATCCACAGTAATCACAGGAACTAGGTGCACATTCAAACTTTGAAGAAATGCAAGAATGCACTCTGATGCTAGCTAATAAAAGACGTTCGGTGTAGTTTTCAAACAGTTCCTGCCTTCGTTTTATGGAAGCAGTGCAGAACAGTTTGAGTTTTTAAGTGCCAAAAAGAAACTAATGTTTGTGCTGCTCATGATTCTTTTTGCAGTAAATGTTCGTTTCCTTTGACAGATTTTGAAAGGTTAGCTAATCCCATTTATCAGAAAATAATACCTATTTATTGATTCATTTTTTTTATTTTTATTTTTATTTTTTCCCCCTGAAATTAGTCTCTATTTACTAACCTCTAGAAGTCTTTTTTCTGAAATCCATTTTAAATGTTTGACTTAACCCTATATTACCTGACTCAGCTAAATAGAGAAACTTGTGTTTTTGCCGTTAGAAGGTAACTCCTGTTCCGCCTTTATTTCTTTTTATTTTCGTCGCTGAATTTGACATAACCTCTTCCCTAATCAAACTCAAGCAGGAATATGTGATATGTGATTCGCTTCGTCTGCAGTTTTACATTCTCCCGATTTATGTCCCAAGGTATTGAAGAGAAATCATGGAAATGTTTTTTGTAATGACAAAAGCTCGTATCCTTGTCTCTGTGTTTTTCAATTTTATGATGCGCATAATTTTTACTGCATAAAAATTTCTCTAGTTCTGAGAAAATTTATTTTCCTGGTAAAATTATTTTAAGCTGCTGCATATCAGTAAATTTTTGCTTCATCAAATATGCATAATAATGTACGTTTCTTATACGTTTGCCGATAAATCTTGAGCAATCAATTTTTTTAAATTTCCAGCAGTTGAATGATTTGTTTTCTGTTGCTATTTTTGAAAAAATTAAATTGTTGTAAATTTGAATCTTTGTAGGTATTGTGAAAATTTCTCTTGCGCTTGAGAGCAATTGCTTCATTTGCTCTTGAGATTGTAAATATTCCCTGAAACGACTGCTTAATGTTAGAGGTATTTGTGGGGTGATGCATTTAACTTCACAGCCACCAGAAAGTTTACTGCTTGTTCTGACAAAGAAAATTTTCCAAAGCATTGATTATAATGTTCGAATCTATCTTCATTATAAAATCAACATCATTAGTGAGTAAAAAAAAATAAGGAATATTCTTATAATGCTCACCACATTTAAAGCAGATTTTGTGTTTTCCTCCATTTTCTTTCTCAGAACTGGCAGTTGAAGAGTGTCTCTTACTTTGACTACTGCTCAATATAAAATTTATTGTCTCTTGTATATTTTTGTTACTTTAATGGTCTTTTATGTATTTTTGACCTAAGTCTTATTTTCTTTGTCACTTTTGATAAGACAAGAATTTGTCCTCGTGTTGTTTTATTATCTTTTCATGTAGTCATCCATTGGGATGATCAAAGAGGGTACTAAAGGGGCAGAACCAGACTATGATCACAAGTAGTTGTGTTAGCCGCCTAATACACTCTTAACTGTGCGATAGTATGTCCTTAGAGAAGGGTAGGATTATTCCCTAACGAGAATTTTTCAAAAACCTATGATTATAACTCTGATTCTTTGCTAAAGCAAAATGTAGAACACTTGAATGCTAGAAAAAAAGCAGTAAATCTCTAAAAAGTGACCAACACTATAGGAATTCAGACTGGATGATTTTTTGTCAATGCTTTTGAATGCTCTGGAAAGAACTGCAGTCCATTTTTGACAGTGCAAAGAACCATATTGTTGTAGGTTACCCTAGTCTTTAAGTATCCAGATTAGAAGTGCATGTATCCTGATCTGTTCATAGCCACTCTGCTCTCGGTTTTTGCTTATTTTAGAGGGCAGATGTACAAATAAAACAACACGGAAAGCAGTCTCGGAAGACATTTTTGGCAGTTTATATCAAAGTTTTTGGTTTAAGGCAAGTTTTCTTGTCATTTTATGAGGGTCTTTTGCAAAATTATTCACTTCTCTCCTTCCCTCTATCAAAATATTCTTAACTTGGCAAAATTCTGTATTTTTTGTGAAATTAATCTTACTGGAAGTCTTACTTAGACTTTAATCTACGATTCATTTTTTATTTTGATTGCCTTTCTCTTATAATCGTGTGCCTTACCACATCTTGTGCATAAATCAAGCAAAGGTATCATTTTCCCTCTTAGCTTAAGCTGATGACTTATAAATAAGTAGATTATAGTATGTAAAACTATTACAACTCATCTGCAGACCAGCTACTAAAAAATGCAGTTAATTTTGCTGCAGTGAGTGGTGGTTTCTAAACATATTTACACAAATGTCAGGTTTCAATCCGATTCGTATGATTCTCACCTGCCTCTGTATCCTTAACAGGTTTGGTAACTTTAACAAGTTACAAAATGCAGGATTAGTTGTACCCTGATTGTTCGCCTCACAGTTACTGAAGCTTTTGTTAAAATTTTCTAAATTGCATATATCTAATACTCGATGTTGTTTCCGGTTTGGTGTATTTGTGGGAATGATAAGGGTTCTGAATTCCTCAGTGACAGCGTGAAGGGGCTTGCTAAAGAAGGAGGTCTCACATATTTGCGATTTAAAGGGGGAAAATTTAATGGGATTTTATTTCCTATGAAGACCTTTAGTCGTTATTTTTTCTTGCTCTTAATGAAAATTACAAATGAATAAAAGTGGAAACTTGTTTTGATTTCGCTCTTGACCTCAGAATTGTAAACTAACTATTCTGCACAAAAAATGATTTAATAGTGCAGTGTTCATAAATAATGCGATTTTATGTTCTCACAAAAGTTCAGAAAGAAACCAATTTTTACTCTGTCTTCTCTTTCTCCCATCTTAGTTACATTCATATAGTGAAACTGCAAAAATCGCAACCCTGGAAACCTTTCCACTGACAAAATTATATAATTTCTGGCAGGGAAGTCCTTCAGAGATTTTTTCTATTCCATAGAAAAACATTATTTCATCCAGTTTCAAGTTGAATCTTACTTTTCTTGCCAGGAAAAAATTTGGGTTCTCCATAGTCTTTGTATCATTTTTTAAAGTAAGATGGACTATAACCATCAAGAATTTTGTCTAAAACTGGTGTTAATAAGGATAAATTCAAATAGAAGCTGGTAGACCATACTTGATAATCTTCTAAGTTGATACAAAAGTCACGCCCAGCCATTAATTTTGAGGGTAAATTGGTATTCATCATTGCTCTGCTATCCTTTTTGCTCGCCATAATGTTATCGAATTAATTTGTGATACTCGTTGGTTAGTTTGAAATAACCGCATATCATGACTGTCCTTTTGCATTCTCACATCTATTTGTACTTTTATTCCTTGTAAGTATGCATTGTCCCTGTTCTTTTGTAATGAATTAGTTCAATTTTGTATATTTTTTGAGTCCATAATATTGTTTATAAACGTGATGATTGTTCTGATGGAAAATTTCTAAACATGTATTTTTTAAAAAGACTATGTTTTTTAAGATATTTTAATATAAGTAAATTATTTTAATACAAAAGTATGTTTTTTTCATTTGATCCTTCAATCAGCTCCATCATCGATAGTGCGTTTTTAACACTCTTTTATGGGAGGTAAAAAAAAAAATTCCATAGACACCGGAATATCGATGGAATAAACATTCAAAATTCTGAGTTCCAGATGGTTACCTACTTGCAGAACATGTTAAGGGGATGTGGAAAATTCATCTCTTTCTGACCCGTCTCATCTTGTGGAATGATGATGGGTTTTTAACTATCCTAGATTGATGGGGAAAAATTTTTCATAGGCACCTAAGCAGTGCTGGAAAATAAATCCAAAGTTCTGGACTCCAGATGGTCAGCATAAGGACAATTCCAAGAGGACATGGATTTACCATAATTCTCCAATCAGTCGCATAGATTCCATCATTGATTGTCCATTTTTAAAATCCTTGAATGGACAAGAAAATAATTTTACAGAACGATTGCGCACTGATTGGAAGTAAAATCGAGAAAAAGCTGTTCTTAAGCTGTTCTAAAAATCTCGCAAGCATTTAAAAGTTCACCAACATTAATGTCAGAAGAGCATGCAGTCAACAGAATCCAGCCTACGTTACAGCTGCAGCTCTGAAAAATCCGGTGAGATTTCTAACAGCTGGGATTTTTAGTGATTTGACTCTATAATGAGGGGCCTGGAGGACAAGGTGCAGAAGTGCAGTCTCTTTGCTATTTTTAATAATACATGTTTGAGGTTTCGAAATTACATGGATCCTTATAGCGGAAAGAAAGTTCAAACTGACTTTTTAATGCTTAAAAATTTGAATTTGGGAGGGAATCTTTCACAGAATATGCATTAAGACTAGTTTTACTTGAAAAAAAAACTGCACTCATGCCTCGTGTCCTCCAAGCCCCTCAAATATCATTGGGGGAAAAATCGGTTATAGGACATTTCGTCAACGATTTTTTGTCCGCGCACCTGTTTTTTCCAGTAATTTACGTCCACGCGTTTTTTTTGGCATGCGAGTTTTGGTCCACGTGCCAGTTGAGACTCAAAGTTAATTGGCCCACATGCGAATAAAAACGACCATTGCTCACGACGTTTTTAGATGAAAATGTATAATGACTTGGAAGAATGAGGGTTTGCTTGTATTTTTGTTTTGTCTGTTTGGTCCAACGGAGAATAATATATAGTTAAGAGTTTTGGTTAAAATGGGGGAGCGTCAATTCCATGGGACAAAATTCACTAAAACTCTCTACACCTCTTTGGTGTAACAGGACTTTTTTTTTTTTTTTTTTTTTTTTTTTTTTTTTTCTTCAGGGACATTCCCCATCTGACTTTATTCAGAGGACTTAATTATCTTTCAAGAAATTCCCACCTTGTTATACCTGAACCGGATAAACCTCTATATTTGCCTCAGCTAAAGGCTCTTAGATTTGTCCTGTGTACAATAAGTATCTTGATTTATTTTGCGAGGAAAGATCTGTACTTTTAAAGGATGCCTGTCATTCTTAATACGTTCAATTTCGTACAATACTGTGCAATACCTCTGTTGTGAAATAGTTGCCTCAGGCGCCGCCACACGGCGGGCGGGCGGCCAGCGCGAAACGCTCATTGGCGCCTACAAACCTAAGTGGATACTTCAAGCATTGTGCAATGCGTGAAGTATCCACTTAGGTTTGTAGGCGCCAGCGAGCCTCTCGCGCTGGCAGCACCCCGCTCCGCTCTGTTAGGCTTTAATATTTATACTCGCATAGTCAGCGTTTTTTAACTCATGATTTTGAAATGTTTGCACACTCTGTATAGATTATTTTCATTCAAATTGATGGGAAAAAATATGTATCAACTTATCAAAGGAGAATGATAATATGATGTATGTTTTTTAAATATTGGTGTTTCCGTGTCAAATTAAATGATTTCCAAGGCACTTTAATTTTTTTATTTTACATTTTGCGCGTTTACTGTGCTGCAGCGAGGTGCACGCGCAACCAAACGCTCAAAATTTGACGTATTTGACTCTAGAAGATGGATGTGCAAATGGGTTAGAACTAAAGATTGCGTGCTCCTTGGTTTTTTCCCCTATTTTATTCATTTTTGCAGTTTCTGTCGGCACAACTGCGGCTCATTGAGATTAATGTCGCTTGAAAAAGCTTTTACAAATATTTGACACGTTTTAAAAATATAAATGTTTTCAAAATGAAGTAATAATTTCGTAAAAAAAAAAATTTAAAAAAAAATAAAAAAAGTACCTATTGTACATCGAATATTTTAAGGGTAGAAATGAAACCAAGTATTCACCACTGACAATTTAAAAAGATGATTCAAAAGGAGAAAGTAATAACATTTCATTTAGAAAATGAGCAACCATAACAACACCTCTTTCTCTCTCAATTTCTCATTTCCATATTGTCAATATAATTTTACATACCGACTGAAATATAACGCTTGGACCAAGTCACTGTTGCTTATTTTACGTGTGAGCGTAAACTACTGGACAAAAAAGGTGCGTGGACAAAAAATCGTTGACAAAATGTCCTGAAACCGAAAAACCAAAAAATTCAAGGCTCCAGATAGTCATCGGGGGAAAATGGCAAGGATGCTTGGATTTTCTTCCTGTTACCTATAAGGCCAGCTTTTTCGATTGTATTTATCACAGTAAGCGCATTCGCATTGCTAATTTCTTTAAAAAAATGCTGTTTTCTAGCCATTTTCAAACGATTTGCGGGAAGAACATGACTAGATTCATACTCCTTGGGGATTCACTGTCTTCTCAAGTTGCGTTTTGCCTGTCACTTCCCTTCTCTTTTACTCATACCCATGAAATCTGCATTTTCTGAATGAAATCATGAAAAATTGTTTCAAAAATTTGGGCTCTACGCGCGAATCCGCATCGGAAATATCGCGCATTTCTGGCGATTTTGAGATAAAACTTGAGTAATTTCTCTCCTCTTCATCACACAAGGAAATTCGAACTTAGGAGTAGGTATGTAGTATCACCAGGCCCTCCACAAGGGGGGGGGGGATACTGGGTCCCTGGTACCGGGGCCCGTTTTACCCGAGAAAAACCACTACGAATTCACATGCAACCCTTGTTTCGTAAGAAAAAGTGAAAAATTTACCCTAAAAATTTCGCAAAAGATGAATAGATTTTCAGAAACACGCTGGGGCACTATAGAATTCTTCTTAAATTTTCAAAGAAGTATACTTCTTGGAAAATTTCTATCTATTTTCAAGATTTTCAGTACAGAGGGATATTTTTAGTAACTGCGTTTCATTTTCTTCCGTCGTCAGATGCTTAGGGTCTCCACTCTCCAGTCTGGGCATCCTCGACCTCAATGGCTCATGGCTCAACTCCCTTGCCATAGACAAACGAAGGGGGAGTCCAGGGGGGCATGGCCCTCTAAGGACTGAAAATAGTATCATATGCCCTCCTCCCCAAAAAAATAAAAATACAAATTTTCCAGATGTTTTGAATGCAACAGTTCGCAAGTATTTTGTGCTGAAAGTAGAAAAAAAAAACATAATTTTTCCGCAGAAATTGATGGAAATATTCTTTTTGGAAGCTTCAAAATGCGTCCGATTAGTCGTATAAATTCTAAAATTTCTCGGGGGATGCCCCTCGGACCCCCCCCCCTCCTTCGTGCTTGGGGCCCGGACCATAAAACTGGTACCAGGGCCCGAGATGGGATGTGGCGGGCCTGACTGTATTACGCAAACTTGAAGGGAAATCAGACTTTCATCTATCTCAAGTTCCTGACGTTTATGACAGTAATGCTCGCATCGACGTAAAAATCGTGCATTTTCCGCGATAATGAGGTTAAATTTGTTGATATTTGTACCCAATCCTAATCAACCGCCGCCAAATTTGCAATTTTTCGCGATACTCCAGCGATTATATAAAATCATGAAAAGTTTCCTTTAATTCACTTCAATATCACTAAAAATCGCAAATATTCCGGCGGTTGATCGAGATTACAAAGACCAAAATATTTAAACCTCGTTAGTACAGAAAAAGCGCGATTTTTACATCAATGCAAGCATTACATTCATAAACGTCAGCAACTTAGGATATTTTAAAGACTATGTTTTTCCTTCAATTTCGTATGATACCACATATCGATAATGGAAGTACAGAAGTGCGTATCTCGGGAAACAAAACAAAAACTGCTAAAATTCCTCTTTATTAATAGTAGAAGGGTAATAATTCTTAAGAAGAGCAAGAATAAAATGCTTTTTCAGACTCCATCAGCATTTCGAATAATTTCTCAAACTGTTATAAAATATGGGAGAAATGCCGAGATTCGCGTTTACGGCACTAAGAATTGACACCTCTGTGTGCTTCTGTGTTCGAATCACATTATGCTAGCTATACACTCATTTTTATCAGGGCCGGAATCGAAGTGCACAAATAGTTCAAAAGTTCGGGGAATCGGAAAGTTAAATTGCAAATCAAAAATTTATCGGGTCGTAATAATCTCAGAAGTTGCCAAACAATAAGAACGAGAAAAAACCACTAATAAACGTGGCTCGAACTGCTTGCAAGAAGTTCTGGGTTCAAACTATTCTACGAAGAAAACAAGGCCAAAGATTTGAAATTTCATACATACATTAGAGTCGCTTTTACAGCGCGCCCGGGCGCTCTGCGACACCTAATTGCCATTCTCGTCTATCGTCCTAGAGGTCATCTGGTAAATGGCATCTTATAATTTCATCTTGAATGCCACCTATCCACGATTTTTCTGGACGTACTCCAGGTCTCCTCGCAGGGGACACAGGGGACGTCTCCTCCCAAAAATTTCAATTGTATCAAAATTTTGAGCTCTAACGAGTATCAGTACAAGATTTAGGGGGAGAGTGTGTGCAGCCCAAGCAGATGCATTGGAGTATTATCCAGAGGCGTGGCGTGCTTTGCGATATATCGATTGTTCTGCCATTTAAACCTATGGTAAAGAATCGATTATTAAGGTGTTCCCTGCGAACACCCTGATTATCGATCCTTCTCCATAGGTTTAAATGGCATAACAATCGATATATCGCAAAGCA